ATATATATATATATATATATATATATATATATACTGTAGAAGCCCATGGGTGTTCTTGGGCCAACCGCATTCTCTCAGCCCAACCTACCTCACAGGGACAGAGTGGCAGTGAAAAATTGGAGGAGGGAGGGAGTGCTATATAGGTTGCCTTGAGCTATTGAGGTCAAGGTAGGATACAAGTCTAACAAACAATCCTATCTACCTCAGAGACATTGTTAGACATTTAAAATGGTGGATATAATATACATATATATATATATGTGTGTGTGTGTGTGTAATATATATATATATATGTGTGTGTGTGTGTAATAATATATGTGTAAAATACATATTTTGCTCATTCTGTAAAATGGGAATGTGACTTTTACAAATGCATAAAATGAGGGAGGAGATTTTATGATAAGCAGAAACATGTAGTGTATGGGATAACTTTTGTCTATTGTACCTAAAGTGAGGTCTCCTAAATTGAGGTTTCAAAAAACAATGCTTCCAGCCACAAAAAAATTGCCTACTCCTATTCTGGAATGCTGAAAAATTCTAACCTTAATGTCACATCAATCTACCAGCTACATAACATCAGCCAGGCTATATGATCTTATTTATAGCACTGGGATTCTCAGTCTTCCATCTATCAGTGTGCACCCTTGAAATGTTGAAAACACATCCTAGGCATTCTCACAGAACAGCCATTGACCCAGGAGCAACTGTGAGATGTCAGAAAAAGTCAACTGGCAGCCACATAGCATCAATCATGTGGTTGTGGCTACCATCTTGACTTGTTTGACACCCCCTGCATTGGCCAGAAGGAAAACTTACTCCAAGCCACCCATTCTAGTTCCCCAAGATGTTATTACCTAAGCTTAGCTTTGACGTTTTTAAGGGCACTTTTCCATAAAGCATTAGGCTGCAAATATCCACCATTTTAAATGTCTAACAATGTCTCTGAGGTAGATAGGATCGTTTGTTAGACTTGTATCCTACCTTGACCTCAATAGCTCAAGGCAACCTATATAGCACTCCCTCCCTCCTCCAATTTTTCACTGCCACTCTGTCCCTGTGAGGTAGGTTGGGCTGAGAGAATGCGGTTGGCCCAAGAACACCCATGGGCTTCTACGAATGAAAGTGGACCTGAACCTGGATCTCCTCACTCCTAATCCAACACTACTAGGACCCAGAGAGATTTTTGGAAATAAATGTGAGGCCGCAGCTGGCTCTTTATGTGCCATCTGACAACCTTCCATTGAATTTGCTTATAACAAAAAGAAGCTAAAACAACCTAAACTGAACATCACTTTGCATCTGTGGGTACTGTGTTGGGATCGCAGCTACTTCAGAAATAAATCACCAACCAAAGAGGAAGAAGCAACCAACTACTGTATGAGAAAAAGGAACCTAGAATTTCCAAACACACATACTAACACATGAAGACCTTACAGGTCGTGCTCATTTAGCGACTGCCTCAGACAGTGACCATTTGCAGTTATGATGGTGATGAAAAAGTAACTTGGGACCAATGCCTGCATTTACAACCTTCACAGAGTCTCTCTCCTCCTTGGTCATGAGTTTGCCATTACAGTCAGTCAGCATGCATTGTCCTGTGCTTGACCACTTGGTTTCCCCCACCCACCCCTGGAGATTGCCTAAACAAACTCTCTCCTCCTGAGCTGTTTTTCACAGCAGGACTGTAGAAAGTGCTAGCTGCAGGTTAACAAGCTCAGCTCTGTGACCTTAATTACTGTAGTTGATTACAACTCTCTGAAGCTGCTGCTTGAAATTGACAAGATCCTAATCCAGTGTTTCTCAACCTTGGCAACTTTAAGACAGTGGACTTCAACTTCCAGAATTCCTCAGCCAGCCATGCTGGCTGGGAAATTCTGGAAGTTGAAGTCCACCCATCTTAAAGTTGCCAAGGTTGAGAAACACTGCCCTAATCAGTTTCACACAAAAGGCTTTTGTTTGCCTCACTAGCCAAACAACTGCTAGCCATTCCTCTTGATGTGTATTCCCTATTATGTGCCTGCTTACTCTCTTGTAATCCCTTTCTTTCAAAAGAATGTACATATAAACATCAATCCTCTTCTTGCTAATTATCCCAGTGCCAGGGATTTTTCATCACCGTCATAACTGCAAATGGTCACTGTCTGAGGCAGTTGCTAAATGAGCACAGCCTGTAAGGTCTTCATGTGTTAGTATGTGTGTTTGGAAATGGTATTCCAATTCTGGAGCATTCCAAAAGGCAGGGGAGTGGAGAAAAAGGGCTATAATTTGCTCTTTTACCCAGCTTCCTTGTGAGTCAAATTCCAGAAACCTTCCCTGTTATTTGGCCTCAGCTGGCTGCTTGGGGGCATATCCTTCTGATGCTGTAAAGCAAAGCAAAGCAAAGCTGAAGTAAAATCGTAAGCACAGTCGCAGCCATGCAATTTTCACTTAGCGACTGCTTCATATAACGACTGAGCCACCAGAACCAAATGTGGTTGCTAAACGAGGACTACCTGTACTTTTAAAAGCCTACATTTGAAAATAAACAGACCGTCCCATGTTGCTCCATATCTGCATGTTTCATGATTCTTCTTAAATAAAAATCTTCTCCATGGAGCTTGTG